ATTATCCAACCAGAGACACTCGCATTGAGCGACTCCAGGAATTAGAGAGATGTTCAAGGTGTCTCAAGTCACACAACATAGACTATTGTGATACCCAATTCAACATCTGCAACAGGTGTAGAAGAGGTAGGCACCATGCAGCACTGTGCAAACATACGAAATTAACGTATTCAAGACCCAAGGTGGAAGATAGCAATCCCACCACAGTACAGTACTGCAAGGTGCAACAAACGAAGAGTGTCCAATCGGCAAAGTTTAAAGGTAATACGACTTTGCCTACTGCCAAAATTACCATCCTGAATAAGAGGGCCAAGGTCCATACCCGTGGGTTGTTTGACCAAGGGTCCCAGAGAACATGTCACTAAAAAGTTGGCAGATGAACTACAATTAAGAACTGTAGCCCAGACGTCATTCAACATCTCAGGGTTTGTAACAGATGCAGGACCTCAAGTCTACCAGGTGGTACAACCATCAGTACGTTTAGGCAGGTACGTCTGTCGAGTACAAGCCATTGTGGTGGACAAAATACCAGTAGACCTACAAGTTCAAGGTCTGAAAGCAACAGCCAAATTCCTGAGAAATAGAGGAATAAAATTGGCAGATAATATTAAGTCTGATCACCTCACCGACTTCTGTCTCCTTGTAGGGACAGACTATTGCCATCGATTCATTGGTAGCCATACTGAATATCAGGGCGTAGCCATGTTAAATTCTGCAGGAGGTAAATTACTCTCAGGCCCAGTATCAAGCCTGAGGAGACCTATGGCTGCAGATAAACAATACAAGTAGAAATCTAAATTTGTCAGCTGATTATATTTCTCCAGTAGCATTATACTAAGGAGATTACAGCTGACTATAGTAACAGAGGTTGATGTTAATATCATCATTTAAAGCTGAAGAGGAGTTCAAGAGGCCTCAGTGGCAAATCAGTGAACAGTAGCCTAAACAGCTACAAGTCACTGCGACCAATGTCACTGAACCCACTGCATTCTCAGAACCATTCTTTACTTTAATGATGGGCTATTCAATCCTCTGAATCAATTAACTAAATTAAACGCAAATAAATCTGATGACTAATTTTGATACATTTATTATTTAATCAAGATGAATTCCATGGGCCTCAGTGTTTATATATCAGTGACCAGTTACCTGAACAAGCTTCAAGTTATATTTAATGTCACTGATCTCACTGCAGTCCCTGAATCATACTTGACTGTAGTACTTGATCACATTCAGTCTTCTGGGTTAAATAATATGTATTTAGGCTTGAATTTTAGCCTCTCAAGAGTTAACAGGGAAATGAAATCGCATTAGACTTCTAACCCCTGCAACTCGAGTACAGGACATCTGTCCTGTACGAACAGACGCACAAATGTGTGATTACTAACTACTAACATCAAATTAATCTAATAATTCGATGGAGGAGTATCGGTGTTCGTCTGTTCTAAATAGGACTTCGACCCGTGAGCAGCCCCCAAGGAATTATGTCGGAAAATCCGACACCAATTAATAATATCATACAGGCAGATAATATTGCTGCCATTGTATACACAAGTTACCATAGAAAATGTAACTTGTAGTGGAATTTTCCGTCTATAGAAAACGGGATATCATTGCCACATACTATTATAAATTCACCAGCTATTCTGCTGGGAACTATTCTTAAATACATTAGTCTTTGGACTTTACCACCATAAAAACATCTCATATAAATTAACTTAATTATCAATATTAAAATAGAGTAAATCTGACCCTTCTATCACTTTCTGATATCTGGACAATGTAGGCCAGTAGCGTAGTGAGGAGGGAGTGATCAGCCATTGTTGTTATTGTTCTCAGACCAGAGGCGCACGGGAGCAAATTCGACTCCTGTTAATTTCTCTTGGACGAAGTGTTATGGAAACCAAAGATGTACCATCATCAACACACTGTCAACAAATACAAGGAAAGTGTTCTGCCGAAACCCATTTATCTAATCATTTCTGGCCAGTTAAATGTTAGGTAGATAAGGGCGAGCCGGTTAGAATGCGAAATCGCCTCATACAAAAGGTAATTAAGCCTTGGTCTTTATGGTTCATTGTACAGTGTTTTCTCTGATATAACTGTCATATATTAGGATTCTGGCTTCATAGCTAGCGCCCTTTTGACAGGTGAAGAAGAGGAAGCATGCTTTGTGTATCAGTTACCAGGGTGATGGAAGCAATTTGGTGTCTACATCCTAGTTATATCTGGTGGACTAAGGCCTGCTGTACAAATAAGATAAGGAACCTCTTCAATGTTTAACAATATATGTAGTTTAATACTGTAGTTTGATTGACTGCATATATATAAATTCAATATAAACCTCCCCCCCTAATGTGTAGTGGATCGATTTGTGAGATTATTGCAGAAATACAGTCCACTAATCATCATACAAATTGCTATCGAAATATATAAATTAACGTAAATATAAATTCTATATAAATTCATATAAATTAAATATATATAAATCTCACAGGTCGGTTCCCACATCATCCTTGGGGCTCCAAAGTCCACGAGAATAGTTAATATGAGAGCAGAGTTAAAATTACCTACCATAAGTGAGAGAATTTTGTCTATTAGCACAGTTTTCGGCGTGAAGGCATTGAGTAGATCTAGATAACACATGAAGTTTCAAGCTAAACTTTCTAATATGATGCACTCACCTGAGGTCTATAGAAGAAGAACGAAATCTGATTATGTATATTGGTTCTACAAGGTAACCAACTCCATCAAAATATTAAATATGTACCCAACTCAACTAGTGATTAATCAGCCAATTACTGGGATCTATCAGTTGATTTTGTAAATGCGCCCAAGAAAGATAGTGTGCACTCTACATTATTAAAACAGTTAACACTGAAAAGCATCACTGAAAGTACTCAGAGTATGGGTAACGATGTGTATCAGTGCTATACCGACGGCTCATGTAACATATTTGAACAATCTTCTCTCGTATATACAGCAATGAAGCGCGTCAATGACTGGGCAAGTACAACTCAAACCGAACTTGCAGGCATATACCTTGCCACTGAATTTTTAAAAGACAAAGGCAGTGGACAGTATATACTGTGACTCGCAGAGTGCACTCCTGGCATTGAACGCACATAGTAGTGACATCCAGAAAATAGTCAGTGATATTCGAATGAATGTTTTAGCTGCTAAAGAAAACAGATTTGAGATTAAATACCTATGGATACCATCACATGTTGGAATCTTAAGGCATGACACTGTTGATATGCTTGCTAAGACAGCCTGCAGAAAACCAGTGGTAGAAAATGATATGGGTGTTTCATTAGCAGTGACAAAGAGAATACTTAAACAAATATCTAATGAAGATCTCACCGACCTAACAAATTCACAAAGACCTGAAAGTTGTAGCATTAAATATTATGATAGATATCGTGAGGAGACATTCACATATGGGACTAATAGAACAAGAAGCTGGCAATGTGATGTTATAGTGGCCAGAATACGCCTGGGATATAGACGTATCTGGCAGCTTTCTCAAAACCCAAATGTCGAGTACACAATGTGTCAACTTTGTGAAAGAGAAAATATGCACTCGTTTGAACATTATATTGCAGAATGTCCCATCCTGACTGACTTTCGCCCTCCTGGGCTAAGGTATGCTGAACTCTGTAATTACTATATGAGTACTGGAACACTTGATGATATATTGGACTTGTATCCAAGATTGACCATGTAAAATATCAATTATACAATGTATATATATGAAGTAACTATATAACCTGAGCTTGTAAAAGCACCTTCATCACCTTCAGTGATTAAGTGCTTAATTGCACACTAGTTTCTTTATCAGCTATCTCACCCTATCAGAGTAAATGAGACAAATGTATGTGAATGCATGTGTGTGTATATATGTATGTATATGTGTGTGTATGTATATGTATGGGTATAAAGTACATATGGAAGCTGATCAGAATTACATTTCACCTTTGTGAATGTACATTAATGACACTATGTAAAAGACATATCAAACACATTATGTAGGGCATACGTAAATCTGTGTATCTATGTATTTACGTATGTAGGTTAGCTTAGCATTTTAAAAGCACCGAATCACCTTCTGTGGTTGAGTGTTCAATCAACCCTTGAACTATATTTTTAACACTTCTCTAACCCTGTCCACGGAGGACAGAAGAAAATGTATATATGCTGGTTAGCATTGTAAATGTGTGGCCACGTCTGTGGTAGAAAATAATAATAAAAAAAAAAACTATGGCGGTGTGTCCTCCCACAGGATGAGTGGCGCTGCCCAATACTGTCACTATGGCGGTGTGTCCACTCACAGGATGAGTGGCGCTGCCCAATACTGTCACTATGGCGGTGTGTCCACTCACAGGATGAGTGGCGCTGCCCAGTACTGTCACTATGGCGGTATGTCTACTCACAGGATGAGTGGCGCTGCCCAATACTGTCACTATGGCGGTGTGTCCACTCACAGGATGAGTGGCGCTGCCCAATACTGTCACTATGGCGGTGTGTCCACTCACAGGATGAGTGGCGCTGCCCAATACTGTCACTATGGCGGTGTGTCCACTCACAGGATGAGTGACGCTGCCCAATACTGTCACTATGGCGGTGTGTCCACTCACAGGATGAGTGACGCTGCCCAATACTGTCACTATGGCGGTGTGTCCACTCACAGGATGAGTGGCGCTGCCCAATACTGTCACTATGGCGGTGTGTCCACTCACAGGATGAGTGACGCTGACCAATAAACTCGCCCCACATGACAAAATTAATAATTAACTTATGAAGATGACAAGGGTAAGGCGGGCAGTGTGGGAAGAAGTTAACAATATACTTGAGTGAGTGAGGCTGTGTTGTCAAGTTGTGTGGCAGAGACTGTGGTGTGTGAGGTGACGTGTGGGAGGAGGTTAGTCACGTCCGCCGGCTGCTGACTACCTGCATGGTGTAACTTCCTGTCCTTGGCACGTCGTGCTCCCTCGCCCTGCCTAAGTACGTGGTGCACGTACGAGCATCGTGCGCGGCGTACCTCGCAACTTCCCAGACAATACTGGGGATGTGAGGTCTGCTGCTCTAGCTGGGGATGTGAGGTCTGCTGCTCTAGCTGGGGATGTGGGGTCTGCTGCTCTAGCTGGGGATGTGAGGTCTGCTGCTCTAGCTGGGGATGTGAGGTCTGCTGCTCTAGCTGGGGATGTGAGGTCTGCTGCTCTAGCTGGGGATGTGAGGTCTGCTGCTCTAGCTGGGGATGTGAGGTCTGCTGCTCTAGCTGGGGATGTGAGGTCTGCTGCTCTAGCTGGGGATGTGAGGCCTGCTGCTCTAGCTGGGGATGTGAGGTCTGCTGCTCTAGCTGGGGATGTGAGGTCTGCAGCTCTAGCTGGGGATGTGAGGCCTGCTGCTCTAGCTGGGGATGTGAGGTCTGCTGCTCTAGCTGGGGATGTGAGGTCTGCTGCTCTAGCTGGGGATGCGAGGTCTGCTGCTCTAGCTGGGGATGTGAGGTCTGCTGCTCTAGCTGGGGATGTGAGGTCTGCTGCTCTAGCTGGGGATGTGAGGTCTGCTGCTCTAGCTGGGGATGTGAGGTCTGCTGCTCTAGCTGGGGATGTGAGGTCTGCTGCTCTAGGCAACTGGTGCACACCTGACAGTTCTGGCTCCTGCAAGGGCGGCTCACATGTGTGCACACCTGACAGTTCTGGCTCCTGCAAGGGCGGCTCACATGTGTGCACACCTGACAGTTCTGGCTCCTGCAAGGGCGGCTCACATGTGTGCACACCTGACAGTTCTGGCTCCTGCAAGGGCGGCTCACATGTGTGCACACCTGACAGTTCTGGCTCCTGCAAGGGCGGCTCACATGTGTGCACACCTGACAGTTCTGGCTCCTGCAAGGGCGGCTCACATGTGTGCACACCTGACAGTTCTGGCTCCTGCAAGGGCGGCTCACATGTGTGCACACCTGACAGTTCTGGCTTCTGCAAGGGCGGCTCACATGTGTGCACACCTGACAGTTCTGGCTCCTGCAAGGGCGGCTCACATGTGTGCACACCTGACAGTTCTGGCTCCTGCAAGGGCGGCTCACATGTATGCACACCTGACAGTTCTGGCTCCTGCAAGGGCGGCTCACATGTGTGCACACCTGACAGTTCTGGCTTCTGCAAGGGCGGCTCACATGTGTGCAACAAGTGACTGTTGCAAGCACAGGAGTGTGGGAGGCACCCCCCCCCCCTAGCTGGTCCTGTGTGGGAGCTGAGCGTGGGGGAGGCACCCCCCCCCCTAGCTGGTCCTGTGTGGGAGCTGAGCGTGGGGGAGGCACGACCCCCCCTAGCTGGTCCTGTGTGGGAGCTGAGCGTGGGGGAGGCACCCCCTCCCCTAGCTGGTCCTGTGTGGGAGCTGAGCGTGGGGGAGGCACCACCCCTCCCCCTAGCTGGTCCTGTGTGGGAGCTGAGCGTGGGGGAGGCACCCCCCCCCTAGCTGGTCTTGTGTGGGAGATGAGCGTGGGGGAGGCACCACCCCCCCCTAGCTGGTCCTGTGTGGGAGCTGAGCGTGGGAGAGGCACCCCCCCCCCCTCCTAGCTGGTGCTGTGTAGGAGCTGAGCGTGGGAGAGGCACCCCCCCACCTCCTAGCTGGTGCTGTGTAGGAGCTGAGCGTGGGGGAGGCACCCCCCCCCCTCCTAGCTGGTGCTGTGTAGGAGCTGAGCGTGGGGGAGGCACCACCCCCCCCTAGCTGGTCCTGTGTGGGAGCTGAGCGTGGGAGAGGCACCCCCTCCCCTCCATGCTGGTCCTGTGTGGGAGCTGAGCGTGGAGGAGACACCACCGCCCCAAGCTGGTCCTGTGAGGGAGCTGAGCGTGGGGGAGGCACCACCGCCCCCTAGCTGGTCCTGTGTGGGAGCTGAGCGTGGGGGAGGCACCACCCCCCCCCCCTGGCTGGTCCTGTGTAGGAGCTGAGCGTGGGGGAGGCACCACCCACCCCCCTAGCTGGTCCTGTGTGGGTGCTGAGCGTGGGGGAGGCACCCCCCCCCTAGCTGGTCCTGTGTGGGTGCTGAGCGTGGGGGAGGCACCCCCCCCCCTAGATGGTCCTGTGTGGGTGCTGAGCGTGGGGGAGGCACCACCCCCCCCCTAGCTGGTCCTGTGTGGGAGCTGAGCGTGGGGGAGGAACCCCCTCCCTAGCTGGTCCTGTGTGGGAGCTGAGCGTGGGGGAGGCACCCCCCCCCCCAAGCTGGTCCTGTGTGGGAGCTGAGCGTGGGGGAGGCACCCCCCCCCCCCAAGCTGGTCCTGTTTGGGAGCTGAGCGTGGGGGAGGCACCCCCCCCCCTAGCTGGTCCTGTGTGGGAGCTGAGCGTGGGGGAGGCACCACCCCCCCCTAGCTGGTCCTGTGTGGGAGCTGAGCGTGGGGGAGGCACCACCCCCCCCTAGCTGGTCCTGTGTGGGAGCCGAGCGTGGGGGAGGCACCACCCCCCCCTAGCTGGTCCTGTGTGGGAGCCGAGCGTGGGGGAGGCACCCCCCCCCCTAGCTGGTCCTGTGTGGGAGCTGAGCGTGGGGGAGGCACCCCCCCCCACTAGCTGGTCCTGTGTGGGAGCTGAGCGTGGGGGAGGCACCCCCCCCCCCTCCCTAGATGGTCCTGTGTGGGAGCTGAGCGTGGGGGAGGCACCCCCCCCCCAAGCTGGTCCTGTGTGGGAGCTGAGCGTGGGGGAGGCACCCCCCCCTCCTTAGATGGTCCTGTGTGGGAGCTGAGCGTGGGGGAGGCACCACCGCCCCCCTAGCTGGTCCTGTGTGGGAGCTGAGCGTGGGGGAGGCACCCCCCTCTAGCTGGTCTTGTGTGGGAGCTCAGCGTGGGGGAGGCACCACCCCCCCCCTAGCTGATCATGTGTGGGAGCTGAGCGTGGGGGAGGCACCCCCACCCTAGCTGATCATGTGTGGGAGCTGAGCGTAGGGGAGGCACCCCCCCCCTAGCTGATCATGTGTGGGAGCTGAGCGTAGGGGAGGCACCCCCCCCCCTAGCTGGTCCTGTGTGGGAGCTGAGCGTGGGGGAGGCACCACCCCCCCCCCTAGCTGGTCCTGTGTGAGAGCTGAGCGTGGGGGAGGCACCCCCCCCCCCTAGCTGATCATGTGTGGGAGCTGAGCGTAGGGGAGGCACCCCCTCCCCTAGCTGGTCCTGTGTGGGAGCTGAGCGTGGGGGAGGCACCCCCCCCCTAGCTGGTCCTGTGTGGGAGCTGAGCGTGGGGGAGGCACCCCCCCAAGCTGGTCCTGTGTGGGAGCTGAGCGAGGGAGAGGCACCACCCCCCCTAGCTGGTCCTTCGTGGGAGCTGAGCGTTTAGGAGGCACCCCACCCCTAGCTGGTCCTGTGTGGGAGCTGAGCGTGGGGGAGGCACCACCCCCCCTAGCTGGTCCTTCGTGGGAGCTGAGCGTTTAGGAGGCACCCCTCCCCCCTCCCTAGCTGGTCCTGTGTGGGAGCTGAGCGTGGGGGAGGCACCCCCCCCAGCTGGTCCTGTGTGGGAGCTGAGCGTGGGGGAGGCACCACCCCCCCTAGCTGGTCCTGTGTGGGAGCTAAGCGTGGGGGAGGCACCCCCCCCCCCCTAGCTGGTCCTGTGTGGGAGCCGAGCGTGGGGGAGGCACCACCCCTCCCCCTAGCTGGTCCTGTGTGGGAGCTGAGCGTGGGGGAGGCACCACCCCCCCCCTAGCTGGTCCTGTGTGGGAGCTGAGCGTGGGGGAGGCACCCCCCCCCCTAGCTGGTCCTGTGTGGGAGCTGAGCGTGGGGGAGGCACCACCCCTCCCCCCTAGCTGGTCCTGTTTGGGAGCTGAGCGTGGGGGAGGCACCACCCCCCACTAGCTGGTCTTGTGTGGGAGCTGAGCGTGGGGGAGGCACCACCCCTCCCCCCTAGCTGGTCCTGTGTGGGAGCTGAGCGTGGGGGAGGCACCACCCCCCACTAGCTGGTTTTGTGTGGGAGCTGAGCGTGGGGTGGCACCACCCCCCCCCTAGCTGGTCCTGTGTGGGAGCTGAGCGTGGGGGAGGCACCACCCCCCACTAGCTGGTTTTGTGTGGGAGCTGAGCGTGGGGTGGCACCACCCCCCCCTAGCTGGTCCTGTGTGGGAGCTGAGCGTGTGGGAGGCACCCCCCCCCTAGCTGGTCCTGTGTGGGAGCTGAGCGTGAGGGAGGCACCCCCTCCCCTAGCTGGTCCTGTGTGGGAGCTGAGCGTGGGGGAGGCACCACCCCCCCCTAGCTGGTCCTGTGTGGGAGCTGAGCGTGAGGGAGGCACCCCCTCCCCTAGCTGGTCCTGCGTGGGAGCTGAGCGTGGGGGAGGCACCACCCCCCCCTAGCTGGTCCTGTGTGGGAGCTGAGCGTGGGGGAGGCACCACCCCATCCTAGCTGGTCCTGTGTCGGAGCTGAGCGTGGGGGAGGCACCACCCCATCCTAGCTGGTCCTGTGTGGGAGCTGAGCGTGAGGGAGGCACCCCCTCCCCTAGCTGGTCCTGTGTGGGAGCTGAGCGTGGGGGAGGCACCACCCCCCCTAGCTGGTCCTGTGTGGGAGCTGAGCGTGGGGGAGGCACCCCCCCCCTAGCTGGTCTTGTGTGGGAGCTGAGCGTGGGGGAGGCACCACCCCCTCTAGCTGGTCCTGTGTGGGAGCTGAGCGTAGGGGAGGCACCCCCCCTCTAGCTGGTCCTGTGTGGGTGCTGAGTGTGGGGGAGGCTCCCCCCCCTAGCTGGTCCTGTGTGGGAGCTGAGCGTGGGGGAGGCACCCCCCCCTAGCTGGTCCTGTGTGGGAGCTGAGCTTGGGGGAGGCACCACCCCCCTAGCTGGTCCTGTGTGGGAGCTGAGCGTGGGGAGGCACCCCCCCCCTAGCTGGTCCTGTGTGGGAGCTGAGCGTGGGGGAGGCACCCCCCCCTAGCTGGTCCTGTGTGGGAGCTGAGCGTGGGGGAGGCACCCCCCCCCCCTAGCTGGTCCTGTGTGGGAGCTGAGCGTGGGGGAGGCACCCCCCCCCCTAGCTGGTCCTGTGTGGGAGCTGAGCGTGGGGTAGGCACCCCCCCTAGCTGGTCTTGTGTGGAAGCTGAGCGTGGGGGAGGCACCCCCCCCCTAGCTGGTCTTGTGTGGGAGCTGAGCGTGGGGGAGGCACCACCACCCCCCTAGCTGGTCCTGTGTGGGAGCTGAGCGTGGGGGAGGCACCACCACCCCCCTAGCTGGTCCTGTGTGGGAGCTGAGCGTGGGGGAGGCACCACCACCTCCCTAGCTGGTCCTGTGTGGGAGCTGAGCGTGGGGGAGGCACCCCCCCCCCTAGTTGGTCCTGTGTGGGAGCTGAGCGTGGGGGAGGCACCACCCCCCCCCTAGCTGGTCCTGTGTCGGAGCTGAGCGTGGGGGAGGCACCCCCCCCCCTAGCTGGTCCTGTGTGGGAGCTGAGCGTGGGGGAGGCACCACCCCCCCCCCTAGCTGGTCCTGTGTGGGAGCTGAGCGTGGGGGAGGCACCACCCCCCCCTAGCTGATCCTGTGTGGGAGCTGAGCGTGGGGGAGGCACCCCCCCCCCCCTAGCTGGTCCTATGCGGGAGGTGAGCGTGGGGGAGGCACCACCCCCCCCCCCCTAGCTGGTCCTGTGTCGGAGCTGAGCGTGGGGGAGGCACCCCCCCCCTGAGCTGGTCCTGTGTGGGAGCTGAGCGTGGGGGAGGCACCCCCCCCCCTAGCTGGTCCTGTGTGGGAGCTGAGCGTGGGGGAGGCACCACCCCCCCTAGCTGATCCTGTGTGGGAGCTGAGCGTGGGGGAGGCACCCCCCCCCCCTAGCTGGTCCTATGTGGGAGGTGAGCGTGGGGGAGGCACCACCCCCCCCTAGCTGGTCCTGTGTGGGAGCTGAGCGTGGGGGAGGCACACCTCCCCTAGCTGGTCCTGTGTGGGAGCTGAGCGTGGGGGAGGCACCACCCCCCTAGCTGGTCCTGTGTGGGAGCTGAGCGTGTGGGAGGAACCACACCCCCCCCCTAGCTGGTCCTGTGTGGGAGCTGAGCGTGGGGGAGGCACCCCCCTCTAGCTGGTCTTGTGTGGGAGCTCAGCGTGGGGGAGGCACCACCCCCCCCCTAGCTGATCATGTGTGGGAGCTGAGCGTAGGGGAGGCACACCCCCCTAGCTGGTCCTGTGTGGGAGCTGAGCGTGGGGGAGGCACCCCCCCCTAGCTGGTCCT